TGAATGAACACGTATCAAATTATGTAGTAAACCTAAAGTGTGAAATAACTCAAAACACGTTTTATATTTTATATTTGTTATATTTAGATTCTTCAAAATAGCCACCCTTTGCTTTGATTACTGCTTTACACACTCTTGGAATTGTCTGGATGAGCTTCATGAGGTGGTCACGTGAAATGGTTTTCCAACAGTCTTGAAGGAGTTCACAGAGATGCTGAGCACTTGTTGGCCCCTTTCCCTTCACTCTGCCATCTCATTCCAAAACATCTCGATTGGGTTTAGGTCAGGTGACTGAGGAGGTCAGCCATCTGGCGCAGCACTCCATCACTCTACTTCTTGGTCTAATAGCCCTTACACAGCGTGGAGGTGTGTTTGGGGTCACTGTCCTGTTGAAAAATAAATGATGGTCCAACTACACGCAAACCGGATGGGATGGCATGTCGCTGCAGGATGCTGTGTTAGCTCTGGTTCAGTGTCCTTTCAGTTTTGAATAAATCCTCAACAGTGTTGCTAGCACCCCCGCGACCCTGAAAAGGACAAGCGGAAGCGAATGGATGGATGAATTTGAGGGTCGTTTTTTCTTTGTGTGTGTGTGTGTGTGTGTCATTTTTGTCCACACGCCATACCGGTTGGCGGCGGTAATGCACCGTTTCGCTGTTTGCCAACAAGAAGAAGCGGAAGGAAGAAGAAGTCGAACCGGAAATAATATTTACTCTTTCCGGTTTGGCGTCTAAGGTTTTCTTTTTTTTGGTTCATTTTCTCCATGCCAGAATAGTAGTATCATGGCAAACAGAACCGTTAAAGACGCTAACAGTATACACGGGACTAACCCGCAGTATCTGGTGGAGAAAATCATCCGCACACGAATCTACGAGTCTAAGTACTGGAAGGAGGAATGCTTCGGTCTCACCGGTTAGTAGAGTCACCAGTGAGCTAACGTTAGCTTCATGAGGGCTCATTTTAGCAAGCGGGTTACTATCGACATTAAGCAGGCTCAGTTATATTCTTGGGGAGATAGGTGGATAGATATTTTTAGGCAATAGAAATTATTTTATTTTAGGCCAAAGATTCAAGACACAGTCATACAAGGACAACACACATTAAGATGTGTCCTGAACTGCTCCTTGACTGCAAAATAATTTAAACAATAAGTAACTTTAAATTAGAAATCGGAAATTTTAAATTAAAAAAACTGAAAATGTACATTTTGCAAATGGAATATTAAAGTGTTTTGTACCATATTAGCACAGCAATGTCCTGGCCGTGCAATGGAAGTAGAATAAACTAAATTAAGTAACGTAAACACAGTAATTGAACTGAGTGACTATAGTTATTTAGTGTAATGTAAACAGAGTGACTGGAGTACAACAGTGTAACATAAGCAGTAGTGAAGCAGCATGATCAGTGTAGCAGCGTGTGCCGTAATAATAAATCAGATACGATATGAAATATGACAAGAATATAATATAAGGTCCTGTTCCAGACCCTTATGGTGATTCTATGAGGGGAGTGGGAGCGTGTTCTGATTTAAGCCTTGGATGGCCTGAGGATAGAAGCTCCTCTTGAGTATCTCTGTTTTTGTCCTGATAGTGTGAAACCTGCCTGATTTCAGAAGTTGAAACAGTTTGTTACTGAAGAAAGGCTATAGAAAAAGAAACAAATTTAACACATGGTTGTGTAACATGCCGTTGTGTTAAACGATGTAAATGCAAATGTTTCACCCACATTTGTGACTAAAAACAGACCTGCAAACATATTTAGTTTGACAACATTAAGTCCACGTGGCTGCCAGTTTTATACAGAAGCACTGATAACACAATAGCAGCAGTGATGATAACACTGGCATATTTTCACGTGGAGCTGAACTCTGTTTACACTTATACACGCACCGGGAAGAGCAAAGAGACTTAGCTGTTACAGAGACGCTGAGGAAAGAAAACATGCTTCTAGAGCCCAAAAACAGCAGTTGTTCCTGTAACCACCATTAAAACCTTTACTAGGAAAAAGGTGGCAGGAGCCCTTCATCAAAGCGCCTGATCAACAAACTCCAAAATTTGTTTTACACAGAGAAAAATCTACACTAAGCGTCCAAGAGTAGTATTAAAACATGCAGATGAACTGTTAACTTGGTTTCATACCATATTTATATTACACAGCTTGCTAAAGGCTGATGGCAGCCTTTACAGCCTTACCTGCAGCAAACAGGGGTCTAAAGGGAGACATGGAGTGTTCTTGGCCATATTTATTTAAAGGCTTTCGTAACATTTTTCAGATTGCAATTGAAATGGTGTAAAATTTTGTGTTAATTAAATTGCATTAATATTGAAAAAGTGATGTCACTCCCAATTTGGCGCATTCCAGCAAAAGGAATAAATGTTAAAAGACCTCATCTACCTCAGAAATTAGAGACTGTTCTGGACCTTCCTGTACAGTGTTTTTTACCAAGTCAGTGGGAGTCATTGATTTCCAGGTCCTCCTAAAGTCCACAGTCAATTCCTTGGTCTTTGTCACATTGAGCTGCAGATGTTTCTGCTTGCATCGCGTGACGACGGTCCCTTCTGGTGCCTCAGTGTTGCTGATGATCTTGTCAAACACACAATGTTGAAACGCACATATTGTGGTCTTTCTGTCAGGCAATCAACAATCCAGGACACAGCTTGTTGTACTACTTAGGCATTCCTTTCTTCATCTTTCCAGTAATTGACTCAGAGTGCTAATTTGCTAATATGGGAGGGTCATCACTCCCCAGTTCTGAAATGCTACTGGTAGTAAAATAGTAGTAGAACTGTAAACTTCTAATCTGTACAAGTCTGTATACCTCTGTTCATTGTCTAATTGCAAACATGTATGCAGGTGCATTTGCAGGCAACAATTGTATACAATGCAATTTGTATTTATAGTTTTTTGTTAACAATGCTTTTGTATGTTGTTTCATCCTCAGCCGAGCTGGTTGTCGACAAAGCCATGGAACTTAAGTATGTTGGTGGAGTTTTTGGTGGAAATATCAAACCCACTCCTTTCCTTTGTCTCACGCTGAAGATGTTGCAGATTCAACCTGAAAAAGACATCATTGTCGAATTCATAAAAAACGAGGATTTCAAGTGAGTTTTCTGCAGAGAGAAAAGGAGTAAACACTTATGTTGTGTTAATTTTCTCAACCAAGTTCATAGCGTATAGAATTCACTCAAACTCGTGAGACTTTCAGACACATTCCCACTATTTTGCTTAGCTAAGGTTGTAGCATAGTTGTAGCATAGTTGTAGCATAGTTGTAAAGATAAAAGACCTTTATGAACATTTGACCTTAAGAAAAAGTTGCATGATATTTAGAATACCCATATATGATTTCTTATATGGCTATATGTTATCAGTGCAAACAGTGGCATTGAGAATGGCATTTTAAATTGCTCTTTATAGCAGCATTATCACTCGAAACTTCAGATCAGTCTATTGACCTTGAAGGAGAGGTCAGAGGTCAAATGTGACAAGATTTTTAACCTTTCTATGGTACTTTTTTAATGTTCAGAATACACACTTGTAAGAATCATAACTTTTTGTTCAGTTCATCTTGGTGGATGTAAACCAAATTGTAATAGATTATTATGACCCTTGAGTTTTATCTGAATTTCTTCAAAACTTTTTAAGCTATTGTGTTTACAAATCGAATGATGAACTCAAACACAAATGTCATCAATCACCACGGCTCGCAAAATCGCTAGCCCGACGTCCTGGGGCTAGCGATATCTCCGGTTGGGATACCAAAATCTATCTCAGCCCCGCCTGTCGGGCTATATGATAGCCCGACGGCTGAGATATTTGTACATTTCTTCAGTTAATTTGTATGAGTGAAACCTATTTTCCTCGTTTTACTTTGCTGCTGTCACATGGCAGTGTATTTGTTGAATACTTTATTGATAATGATTAGGTAAGGAAAATATGTTTCTGCTATTTTGTAAAATTGTTATTTATAAAAAGCTCTGAAAATTGTTTAAGTACTGTTTTATAGTTTTATGTGTTTTTAAATGTCTTTGTGCCTGAATGTGATCTTGCTGATTATAATGTTGCACAGCAGTTTGGTAAACTGTTGTCAGCAGCGTGTGTAGCACATTTCGTGCTGGATTGATTAAGAATATATTTTTGTGTGTGTAACACATAGAAGAGGTATGACATGTTCGTGCTCATTTCCCCCCCCCCTTTTTTTTTTTTTAGATATGTGCGTTTACTTGGAGCGATGTACATGAGGTTAACTGGAACTGCAGTGGATTGCTACAAATACTTGGAGCCTTTGTACAATGACTACAGAAAGATTAAGAGCCAGAACAGAAATGGAGGTGAGTTTGACAAGTTAATCTATAAATGACTGGACTCTAACTGGTGTTGGAGGGAGGTGAATGGTATCGCAATATTTCAAGAAAATTTGCAATAATATTTCTGACATATAAAAGAAAAATACTAAACATTTTATTATTTGCTCGCTGCTTGCAATCAGCAGTACTTGCAATGTACAATGTAAGTGCATGAAATGCATTCTCTATCTTTTCACATGAGCTAATGTCACTAATAAACTTCCTAATTTGAAGTGTGAATCTTATTGAAACAAGGCCCCAGCACTAGGCGCATTACAGTGTAGCAGTACTGACAGCATAAGTCAAAGGCGAGCACAAAAGTGGTATAGGTGTTTAAGTATGAAACTACTGGTTAACATTTTAGTTTAACAATAATTAAAGTAATTTAACCTTGTAACTTGTCAAGGACTTGTACAGTATTGTAATATAATAAACCTGAATTATGCTTTTCTAACTCAATTTTTATATGTTTTATACATTTATTCAATTTATGTTATTTTATACCAAAACTTGAGACAGCACAGTCCAGAGAAGTGAGGAATTCATCAAGCATAACTTTCACCCACTAAAGAATATAAATAAATAAATTACAGTAAAATGTAATTTGACATCTTAATAAAAAAATATCTGTTTTACTTGACTATTGTTTTTCTCTTCTTTTTGTTAAAACAGTAATTTTTTAAATTCATTGACAGTATTGATTCTGTTTTACGATTGCAAATAAAGAATTCTGACTTTTTCCTCAAAATTCTGAGATTAAAGTTGGAAATTTGAGAAAAAAGGTCAGAATTTTGACTTTTTCCTCAGAATTCTGAGAAAAAAGTCAAAATTCTGACTTTCTTCTCAAAATTCTGGAAAAGAAGAAAGAAAAAAAAGGACATGCCCACTTTTTTCCCCCCCATTGGCCCTAATCCTCTTCCATACAAAGCACTTGCACATACTAGTGGATGAAACATTGCAATTTAGGACAGCTTTGGCAAAAACCTTACATTGGGTGGTTGTTTATATTTGTAGGCGCTGCGCATGTATATGTACACCAATCAGGCACTGATCATACAATGAGACACTGATTTTTTTTCATCATTGTGACACTTGTTAGTGGGTGGGATATGTGAGGTAGCAAGTAAACATTTTGTCTTCAAAGTGGATGTGTTCAAACCAGGAAAAATGCGTAATTTGTTATTTTTTATTTGTAAATTATTACAGAGTTTGAGGTGATGCATGTGGACGAGTTCATCGACGGGCTTCTTCACGCAGAGAGAATGTGTGACGTCATCCTTCCTCGGCTTCAGGTGTGTTAGTGTCATTTTTGTATATCTGACCTGTTTGACGTGCCAATGTCATTGACTTTTCTTTTTTTTATGCGTGTATTACAGAAGAGGCAAGTGCTGGAGGAGGCTGAGATGCTGGACCCAAGGATTAGTGCTTTGGAGGAGGACTTAGATGAAGTAGAAAGCAGTGAAGAAGAAGATGAGGAAGAAGATAAGGTTAAAAAGAAAATTATCAGTAAAAATCTACCATATAAAACTGATCCAAATATATTTCTAATGTTTAAAGAGCCCTCGCTATAACAAAACACAATATGTTCAACTATCAGCTTTTGTTTAACTGCACAGTTAGCATATGTTCAGCTTCACTGAAACATGAAAATCCACCTGTAATAGCAGTAATGTTCAAGTTTGTAAAATGCCTTATAAAAGACTCTGTACATCCAGCGTGGCTAGGAAAACTGTGGTGTTGGCCTTCGATCTGGTGACTCAAACAAGCTCTCCTACACACTGTTCTCATTTGTATACTGTTCTACAAAACCTAACTTTAAAACTAACAAGTGGATTTTCCATGTCAGTGCAGTTACCAAACAACAAGGAACCACTGACTGTTTAAGAGACAGATTGTTGCAGCCAGGTGCAGCACAAAACTGCCCCCCTTGGGCTGCTATTTACTTTTAGTCCCCCTGTTTTCCAGTGATTTATCAGTTCTGCTACTACTTAGCCGACATAAACTAATGTAAGCCTATTAGCTGCAACCAACCTGGTGACGTTACGTTCTGTACTGCCACAAGATGGCGCCGAATATGTAAAAACTGCAAACACAAGTAATACCGATAGTATTACATAGTGTAAATTAGTTCCATTGCAATACAATGACTGGTTATATAGAGTCAGTTATATAGAGACGTCTGCATAAAATAGCTTCTATGTCCACTGAAAATGTTGTCTGTTAGTGGATTAACTGGAAAATAAAAACATGAATGAATTTGGTTGCAGATGGAGAGAATTCAGACTCCTGAGCCACATAGACGTGGTTACCGTGACAATGACAGACCTCGCCGCTCCCCATCACCACGTTACAGACGCAGCCGTTCTCCCAGACGGTACTCATTGTGCTCATCCTTACATTTTCTTGAGTCTTCATATGTTTGTGAATAAGACAAGTAGACTTGCAGAGCAACCTTTTCCCACATCGAGTGTATACAGTTGCTTTCATTATGGTAAACTCCATTATTTCTTCTTCAGGAGGAGCAGGTCTCCAAAGAGGAGAAGGTATGACTGCTTTTTGCATTCACTTTAATCTTGTTAAAACTGCACTGCTAGTATGTGTGTCTTACAGGAATATCTGTGGTTTTTATTGTACATAAACAGCCCCTCACCACGGAGAGATCGCCATCGCAGCAAGAGCCCCCGGCGCCACCGCAGCAGGTCCAGAGAGAGACGCCACCGCTCCAAATCCCCAGGTAATTAAAGGGGAGATCAGTGTTCTGTGGCCATATGGTGTAACCACAATAACAGACAGCTGAGAATGGGGGAAAATATGGGTTATTAAAGAGTCTGCAGACATTTAAG